TTGCCTAATTGGTCGAACAAGTCCGCGATGAGCGGAATGGGATACTTGTTCTTCACTGTCACCTTATTGAGGGCTCGATAGTCGACGTATAGTCGGAGGCTCTCATTTTGTTTCTTTTGGAAGAGAACTAGAGCTTCGAATGGTGCTTTGGAACTACGGATGAGACCATTGCTTAGCAGTTCGTCTAACTGCTTTCTGAGCTCTGCCAACTCTAAGGGGACATGTGATATGGTGGTCTCGTTGGAGCCTTCACTCGTCTCTTAACTCAATATGATGATCCACACCTCTGCGTGGTGGTAGAGTTTTCAACAACTCAAGTGACATAACGTCTGTGAACTCCTTCAGAATGTTCGTCACCATAGCAGGTTCATGAATGACCTTCTCATCCAGTGGCTCTAGCTTCACAGTAGTCACGAAGGTTAATTCTCTTTTTTGTACCCCTTTCTTTAATTATAATGTCGATATGGGGGTCATTGATTCCACTTCGAGAGACGGGAACCACATAGGGGTCATCGCCTCCCATTAAACATAGAGAGTTCAGGAACAATATTGGCACCAACTTCGCCACGTGCATGAACTTTATTCCAAGAATCACTTGGAAGTCGTCCAATGGCACCGCCATCATGTTTGTGCTCCCGCTCCATGTTCCGATCTTGATGGGCGACTCCCTTTGCCAACCCGGAGATCCGTTTGGCCTCCGAGTTCATCGCCTTCATCCGACTTGGGTTCTTCTCCAAGAGCAGCCCAAGTCTCTTTGCTTCTCGATTGACAATAAAGTTGTGGGTAGCGCTCGTGTCCACCATTACATGGGTTGTTTGGCCATTGAGCTTGATGTCCACGTACATTAGCTCATTGCTCCCTGCTTTATGTGGCTTTGTCTTCATGTTCTTCCCCACTTGACCCCGCAAAGCATTTAACAAACGTATTGCTCCCATCCGGGGTCCTTGTGACTCCTTATTGTCGTTACTGGATTTCAAACTACACGAACTAAGAGTGACGGCTTTGCCCTTGTCCGATTTGGGGGGTGGATTGAAGTTGTTAAGGCGTTGAGTGCTTGTTTTTGTGGGCACTCCCTCACCATGTGTGGTCCTTTGCACAAGAAGTACCCGCTAGGTTTTGGGGCCTTGTTTTTTGAGTTTGGCCCTTTGTGGGAACTCTACTTCCTTTGCTCGCCCTCGGGTTCCTTTCCTCGAGAATATTTTGGAGGGCGATTTCCTAAAGATTGTTTCCTTTTCTCTGGGTCCTCCGAGGAAACAAAGTCGGTGAGCCTTTCTGCGGACGCAATTGCCCCGATCACATCGGTGACATTCCTTCAATGTAGTTCCTATTGAGCCCATGGCTTCAGGCCATCAAGGAAGCTGAATAGCTTATCCTTCTCGGACATATCTTGTATGTCCAGCATTAGTGCAGAAAATTGCTTCACGTAGTCTCGAATAGAATTACTTTGGCGAAATTGTCTCAGCTTCCTCCTTGCAACGAACTCTTGCTTCAAGTCTTCTCATGTGTTCGCTCGGCATCGACCTTGTTGGATCTCCTCCCAATGGGTTCGCCACAAAAGTTTTGCATCTCCATTTAGATACATGGTTGCTATTGAAATTTTAATATCTTCAAAATCGGGCCTTGTAGCTCGAAAGTATTGTTCCATGTCAAATAAGAAATTCTCGAGCTCCTTTGCGTCCCTAGTACCTCTATAGCAATAAGGCTAAGGTGCCCTTAAGTTTTGTGGCGGCACAACGCGGGTGTTGCTCCCTCTCGCATTTAGTGCCCTTATGAGCACTATGACTCTGGATTGCGAAGTTTCTTCGATGCTTGCTTGAATTGCTTGCCTGCTCTAATACCACAATGTCACAAACTTAGCTGGAATTGCCTAAGTCATAACACCCTGGTGCAAAGTCACGGACTTAGCTGGAGTTGCCTAAGTTGTTAAGCACCCTTGCACCAACTCCTCGAACTTAGTTGGGATTGCCTAAGTCATGAGGTGCCCTTGCGACATATGGTCAGCCTAGTTGCAACTTCATACAGGTCCCGAAGGACCTACGAAACAGAAAGTTGATTAGTTTGAAAATAAGAAACGGACAAGTCCCGACATCTCGTGAAGAGGGAAGCTTTGCAAGCAATTCAGCGAGCACCTTGAGTGCAAGAGAGAAAAGATAGGAAGGAGAAAACAATGACTTTAGAAGGTAAAACGAACAGTTGCAAGTAAGCAAACAACTACTCACTAGGTGCCAAGCGCGAAGGCAAGTTCTCGTCAAGTTAACGTGCGAACTTGTGAAGATTATTCAACACCCGATGCTATCCCGAAGCCCCATCCCACCTGGTGCCACCCGGGGGGTTCCAGGGTGCTGAGATGGCTGACATTTTGCGTGAGCTTGTGGTCTGCAGAAAACAGGTCATGGCATGCGAAAACAGAGCCATTTTTGGGTAGTTTGGCTAGGCTCAGTGAGCGATCGTACTACAGTGCTATGAAATATCGTTGCTTACATTTTTCAAGCAAAAACACACAAAACCAAGGCAAAGCATGCTACCATGTATCTATACAAGCATGCAAAAGCGACGAACGGTTCATTAAACGAAGTTGCTACGGGTGCGCGACGACCAAACTGCGGTGGCTATTGTTGATGTTGGTGGAGAATAAGGAAACAACGGGATGAGGTAGCCGAGCGTTCGAGTTGCCTGTTTTGGTCGTTGCATGGAGGAAAGGTTGCTGCCGAGGTTGAGTGTGGATACCTATATTCTGGAGGACACAGAATGGTTAGAAATGTGCTTTAATTAGCTAAAGAAATGCTTATGCTAGACTTTTAGTTAGAGAGAATTCATCATGAATATGCCTTGTCCAAGTCTTATTTAGGAATTCTTGAGTAACTGAGGGCTTCATGGAGCCAAACCTCAAAAGTATCCTTTTAACTTGTTTGTTCATTCTAAGTGCTATCGTACATTAAGACGCTATGATGAGTGGCTTAAGCCAAGTTGGTGCTGATGTTAGAGTTTTCAATAAATTAGATGCTCTTCCATAAGGGAATTTATTTTATATATTGAGTTTTTTTTACCATGGTATAACAGTAAGATTATCTGAGGGCAAGGTTCGAAAAAATATTTAAAGATAAGATTGTGTATGTTGATTCTCTCCAAATCTTTTATTGGTGGGAGCATTAGTGTACGTCGTTTTTTAAGTGTTTATTTATCATACATTAGAGTTTGATATCACAGTTTCAGATGTCTTATTACAATTATTTCTGACCATGGACCATGTCTGTGCCTCAGGTTCATCCGGTAGCATAAGGGGATACTGAATTCTAATTTTTTTTTTCTCTTTCAGGTCAAAAAAAGAACTAAATAAATAGACTTGCTTTTTGTAAGATAATTTTACTCGTCAACTTACTCTCTTTTACTGAATTAGCACGCTTGTTTGTCAAAATACTTCTATAGACACCTACCTCTTAACAGGCTCCTGGATGTAAGGTCTGATGGTTGCTGAGAAGGCAGTGTTACTTTTCTGGCCGTACTCGAAGTATTAACGAAGGTCTAATGGTTCTTAATACCACCACTTTTAAAGGTACTCGAAGTATTGATATCTGCTTTTAATTTTTCTTTTGAATGGCAGTCGCATTCAATCTTCTGCAATTGATATCTGTTTATGACATGTTTGATGCGATGTCTTGTCATGATTGCGAACGTCTAAAACTTTATTTAGCTTTTACGGTCTAGTCTTAGAATAAGCATTGCTCCAAGGAAATATAGACTGCAGTCCACGAGTACTGTTGTTGCCTAACTAGTAACGGTCTCAAGGTGCCGTTATCTTAAGGCTGTTTATAAATTCCTTCCAGCGGTCTTGCTCGTTGGGGATATGAAGTCGAGGAAGTCGTGAAAGCTGCCCTCCGTGTATCTTTTGTGGTGCTGCCCATCGATCAGCTCTTTTGCAGCTGTGACCTTTCGCATTCATGAAAAGGCCAATGGATGCTGGCTATGGATATACTCGTCTGGGAATTGAGAACTGCCCGATGCAGGGTATCTGGTACACGAGCCATCTCTCTCAAGGATTCTCCTTCCTTGTCAAAGATGTGTAGGCCTTTGCAGCTCTGGTGCAAGATGGTGATGCATCCATAGTCGGAATGTGGAGCAAGTCCAAGCAGGACATCTGGTTGGGAGCCCTCGGAGTAGCCGTCCACGGCCGGTCACCTGCATGCCTTCCTCGAGTTTGTCCTTCATACCGCTGGACCCAAACCCAGACTCTCCAGTATGGCATCCATCAATAGCAGGGCTATTTTCCTGACTTGTGTTGCATACTTACCCATTCTTTCCCTGCTCTTAACACCAAAAGTTTTTTCAGTCCCCTAAGCTATTTATAGCACCACTTCATTTTAAGACCCTGTAAACGGCACGCTCTTACCCTATACCCTCGTGGTGCTGCAGGCCAGAAAGGGATCCGGTCACTGAGTGGGAGCGTGGTGTTTGAGCTTCGAGGGAGTATAATATAACTTGGACTCATCATCTCGTGCGGTCCGAATGGAAAATTTAGGGAAATAATTTTCTTATAATGTTTTTGAGTTTGACAGTTTGGCAACCGTCATGAGCTCACAGGATGATGAGTACCATTTGTAAACTAGAGTTTTCTGCACTCCACTTCCCGGAGGATGTCATGGACTCGAGTTTGTAAACTAGAGTTTTCTGTGCCGTTTGTAGCCATCCGTTCAAGGTCGGTCACGTACGGACTGTTTTCAGTCCATGGAAAACGGATTAGACAAAGGGGGGTATCCATCCGTTTTAGTTGTAACTTTATTTTCGATGATAATGCATTTTGAAGTTGCTTAAACTGAAAGGAACTTACTAACCTGGGAACAGCCGAGCGTCTGACACGCGTTACAGAATTATGATATTAAGATTTGTGTTGAGATTTCCAGGGGAAGAAGCGCAATGCTTTGATAAAATTCGTTTAAAAATTACAGTTGTCAGAATGACACAGAATTATGATATTAAGACCCTTTAGGAAGACTACCCGGATATTAAAATAACAAAAAACATCCCCTTTTGAAGCGTATTATGGCATCAAAGACCCACCCGCCCATGTTACATGCACCATACTATTTCAACAGGAAAGAATATTAAAATAACTTAATATGATTTGCAGGCGTCACCGCGACAGACGATTGGCAACAGTAAGCAATTTGGCCAAGGTCAGAAATCTACAAGTTGCAATCTAGATAAGAGTGGATCGTCCACGTACTTTTTGTCTAGGCTCATACGTGTCTCTATCATCAACAGCAGCAGCTGCGCGGCGCAGCGCAGCGCAGCGCAGCGCAGCTAAAGAAATAGAAGATGGTAGGCGTTATTATTGCCCACTGTAATAAAAGAATCAACAGCTAAAAATTAAGAATAGCATGTAATAAATGCCTCAAATTGAATTTATTACAATGTTAATTAGGGGTATGAATTTGTAGTGTTTTATTTACCAAGGTACCTTGGTTTTCGCTTCTCAGCGAATGCAGCAAGTCCCTCAAGGCGGTCTTGTGTGTCAAGAAGTTGCTCGTAACATTCTTCTTCCGCATCCAGAGCTGAGGGCATATCTACCTCCAAACCTTTGTTGATAGCTTGCTTAGCCATCCTTATAGCCAAAGGACCCTTGTTTGAGAGATAATGTCAGTAACAGATAGGTAAATACATAATAAGTTGTGTGGCACGCTAAAACCTTGACAACCGTAAATTTTGCTGAAGCAAAAAATTTTCATGGAAAAAAAAAGAAGAGAGAATTGAAACATTTTACTCTTGTACCTTCTGGTTAATGTCTCGGGCAATCTCAAGTGCTTTGTGATGTGCCTCTCCAGCAGGAACACAGTAATTGACAAGTCCTGCCACAGATAATAAACCTAATATGTTGATAAAGTGATGTCAAAATAATTAAAAAAAGCAAATGTGGTCAAGTAGTAATATATCGTACCCATAGACACAGCTTCTTTGCCACTAATCCTTCGACCGGTGAATATTAGCTCCTTTGCTGCCGATCTTCCCACTATTCTAGGAAGACGTTGGGTCCCGCCAGCTCTGTTAGCATCAAGATTTGGCAAAAAAAAAAAAAAAAGGACTGCCTATCAAGTTCTCTAAAACAATCTTGTTCCAAGGAGAATTTACTATTCAATAAGTTCCAAAATACAATCAATAGCAAGCTGATTGTCCACTATTCAACAAGGCAACGACACGCACTAATTCCTGATGTACATAACAATGATCATGCAGCATGCCTAGTGAAACATTATAAGTAGGCAGAACCCTTCATATGAAACATGAACAAGTAAAACTGAAAATTTTATCATATTAATGTTTGCCGTTTTTTTTTTCTTTTTTCATATAACCCATTTAGCATACTTAGAACTAAACAAATCATATATTATCCGTAATTGGCCAAATATTTCTCGGTGAAGCATTTAATATTTTTGACTACATAAGTATCAACGAAGAGATCATAGCCATCTCAAGCATATATTAGAGAGAGAAACCCCTCCTTCAAGATCCAATTTCATGATCTTAGTTTCACATACCAATCTTCAATTACTATTGCAGGCATAAACTAAAGAGTTTTTTATTCATAAATTATATTACGCAAATATTCAAAGAGCCTCTATTTTAATATTCTGACCTGCAATGCAATATAAGAATTATCATTACCCTTCTTAAGGGTTCAACGTACCATTCTTTATATAATGACCAGCTAGAACACATACCCAGGAATAATTGCAAGTCCAGTCTCTGGCAAGCTAAATGTTGATTGTTCTCCTACAAGATACATATTGAAACAACTTCCAAAGTCGGTTCCCAAATGAGTAACTATATAACAAAACTGTGGCATGTTTTGTATGGATTTTGACTATTAGGCATACCACACACACGGAGATCACATGAAAGAGCCATTTCCAGCCCGCCACCTAATGCTGCTCCTTCAATAACAGCAACCGTAGGAACAGAGAGTTCCTGTGGAGATTGATTAATGCATTATATCAAATTATTTTTGCACTAGGGACATGCTAAACACAAATCTAAACAATAATTAATAGAAAAGGTAGCAAATAGTTAAAGGAAAAGAAAGAATACATTATATTGCACTTACTCAGCATTATGTCTATTAAGTTGCTCTTCGTTGGCATTGATATTAAATACATCAACACTAGCTTTATGTATTTTCAAATTCATTAGTCAGCATAAGTGAAAGCACTTTGATTGCTACAATTGTTGACCATGTCTATAAAGTAGCAACCAGCAAGCATTTATTAATAGGATTGACTAGCTAAACATTAAAATACCAATTCTCTAACAATGTCAAAAGTGTAAGCAGACTGCAAAATAGTTGGGTAAACATGAACCTCCAAGGATGAGAATGTTGATCGTAAAGAGTTAACAAATTGCTGGACTTCAGAAGCACTCATCAGCTTTCTTTCCTGTCAAAAGATATTAAAATTTACCAATGTAAGTAGAAGAGAGATTGCTGGAGTGTAATTTAGTACAGATGAAATTTAAAGAACAAAAGAAAAAACAAGCTTATATCGTGAACATAAGCTTTTAGGTGCCTTTTCCTATAAAAAACAAGGCACATATCTTGAACAAAAAAAGAACATTTCAAAAGTATCATAATGTGAATCGATAAATTCATTCCATTACAATTCATTATATATCTTCTATGTTCTTATATACAAGTAGCAAAATACTTTTCTCAATAATGGAGCCCTTTCTTAATTCTAAACATCCATACCACAAAAAGGACAGCTTGGGTATCACCAATATACACAATTCATCTTCAAGCTATTGTTTCCTTGACCAAGTTTCTTTTAATTAAGCACATGCTTTTCAGCCGTGTCTGTGTTTTTGCTGATTTGCTCAAAACCTAGATCTGGTTTTTACATCGTGACAGTAGATAGCCAAATTTCTATATCCGTTTTATGTTTTTTTACACACAAGATGTTTCCTTCCATGTTTAGCACCCAACTTGCTGTAGGAATCTCCATGCACATAGTTGTATCAACTTCTCTAGATTCATTACATATATTTCAACTTTCTTGATATTTATCTTTGCATGGATATATACACATTATATGCTTTTCTTTAATTGATTGGATGTGTGACTATGGCTTTGATTCTAGGGTTGAAACGAGCCCCTTCATTGGTGGCTCCATAGATCATTTGTTACTTTGGTAGCCCAAAACCTAGAAGACGACTATTTTGTTACTATGTTTGCAGATCTGTGATCGTTTTGAGAGATAAAGAAGATATTATGAATAGGAACAACCGAACAAAGAGATGTTTCAGTGCTATTACGAAAGCAATCTTAATGTTGAGACAGGAACAAGGCTGTTAGTTGTACGGTCTCCAAATGGTTGCATTCTAGATGAAGATGAGGTGGATGATTATAACACTAGTGGCCCAAGAAAATTTCACAAATTCAGAAAATAGTTGTGTCAACTCAAACACTTGATAATCAAGTAATAGATCAAGATTCAAGTAAATTTGACATCTTCGAATTATGATTGAATTTATTAGTCTGTTGCATTTATGTATATGACCAACTTTCTCAGGAACTAGAAAATAGCTTATTGATGTCGAGATGGAGAGGAAATAAATGAAAAATGAAGAAAATAACAGGTTGGATCCACTAGATAGAATCAGATAAAGAGATACAAAGTTGTAGGAGAATGTAGGAGGACAGTATTTCTCAACAAACATGACTTGGATCCAAAACCTCCAAGGCTTTTAAGACATGGTATGGTGATAGGTTTGAAGCAACCCTCCAAGCATGGATAATTAATTCTACACCATTTTTCAGATCAAAATAGTGAAAACTTAATTAACCTCTCATACAATAACTAAAAGTCATCTAGGAACTCTAAAAGCAGAACTTTTTTCCAATCTTGATAGAGCAACCACCATGACTTTCAAGAGGACTAACTTTCCATAGAAAATCTAAAATTGAATTCTGTAAAATGCTTTAGATTCCTAACTAAATAAGCTTTCTAATGGCATATGATTAATCAAACAAATAACTCAGAATTCATCTTGGAATTAATGTAATATAAGTATTAAAATTTTGATTTATTGAAAATTAAAGAGCACTATCTTGACTCCTCTTGATTGAATATATGATTGGCATCTAAGCCTGTTCTATGCCCTCCAAAAGTGGCAAACTCCTACATCGGGACATTTCAGGGCTAAACGGATACTAACAGCAAGATATCAATAATAAGACATCTAGGAAAATTGGTCCTACGCAAGGCCTAATGTCACCAAGTTACACATGACTATGTGGAAATTGTATACACAGTAAATAAATGTAAGAGTGCAACATTCACGACAGAACAGTGCAGACTACCTCCAACAAGAGTTCATCATGACTCAGTATTCAAGACCAACACGAATTCTTACTTTGAGGTGAAAAATCGAGCCAAAGAAGATCATAATAACTGTCAAACATGAGGGAGGGAAACACTTACCTTAAGATCGGCTCCGGCGCAGAAAACTTTTGGAACCGAACTTGACACCACGACCACATTGGCCGACGAGTCATTGCCGATCGTTTCGATAGCGTTCTGCAGTCCTCGCAGCATCTCCTTCCCGATCGCGTTCTTCGCCTCCGGCCTGTCCAACTTCAGCTCGATAATCCCTGGCCAGCACCGCCGATAAAGATTAGTGAAAGATCGTAAAAGGTAGTAGCGAGCGAACAAGATTCAAGCGCAAAATTCAAGATCACCGGAATCGGAGTCGGAGAGCCGCTCTATCCTCACTGGCCCAGAAAGAGTTTGGATGATTAGGGCCCGTCGGGATCCGAAGCGGTGGAGGAGCGGTGGCGCCGCCGCCACGCCGGTGGTTAGGTGGGTGGAGCGAAGGGCATGGGAAGAGGAGCGGAAGATGGAACGGCCGACGAGGGCAGGAAAACCAGGCATCGCCGCGTCTGGTTACAGGTCGGAAGATGGGTTGGGATGTTCGAAAGGGTTCCAAAAGGATGCCCGGTAAGACTGGTTCTGGGCACCGAGCCGGGCTGATTCAACTCTGAAAATTGCCAGGGTGTGATGTCACTTTTCACAGATTTAGTGAGCTTTCGAGAGGCCACATCACCCCTGAGATGTGAACAGATTACCCCGGCGTCATGCTGCTCTAAGATGACCCTTATCCGATGAAGGGCATTCTCCGTAATCAGGTGCCGAACTCACGACCAGTCCCACGAATTTGCCTTCGCCTATGTACCACCACCACCGTCCATCGCGTCAGAGCCGCAAAATGGAAGAGGATCAGATTCTCCAAGATTCGTGCTTGGAAGCAGCTGCCCATATCTACAAACTAAATGCAGATAGAGAAAGCTAATTAAAATAAGAGTAACAATGGGTGCCGATTCGGTTGGATGCAATTTCATCAATGGGTGTCTGCTCTGATAAAGGAAATAGCATCAGATGATATATTTCAATATTAGATTAGAAAAATAATCAAATACTATGTGAATCAAAAATGAAGATTCACAGCCTAAAAGATGGAAACTAAAATCAAACGAGGCACGAGCGAGAAAGATAAAGCAATACTAAAATTGAAGAAGAATACACATTAAACTCCTCGATTCTAGGCGACAGAGACTGACTGCATGCTGGCACCGAAGCATACATTAAGCAACATCCATCGGTGATCAACAAGAGAAGCTCAAGTTCACTACAGGGAGGAGGCCTTATTGACGGCAACAACCAAGAGAAAATGGAAGACTTATTGTATGAACTTGCAACAAATTCCACTCGACAATCTTGTATAGTCCATGAACCAAAAAAACCAATAATCTTCGAATTCTAGCAACAAAGAAATTGTTATTTCACGTAGAAATTCCAGATTCAGTTTGAAACATTCATCAAATTGGGTCATCATTTCGTAAAGAAGAGATCCTAAAATCAAAGCTAATGCATCAAAATTTAACCTAAGAACGCGAAATCAATCGAGCCCCCTAGACAGAGGATCTTGGCGTATCACGATAACCAAAACTCGGGCCACTCCGCTAGATCTGGTACATACAACTGTTCGGCATCACCGATCCAGAATTCAAACTCGTGATCAAGAACGAAACCCTGTTGCTAGACAACCAAAGGATCTTGATCTATCGGAAACTCGTTACCCCACCGCACCCGGTGAGATCATACCATAAGCCCCAGGCGCTGGATCCAAGAGATTGAGGCATTTGAAATTAAGAGATTGGGGCTTACAACTCCGGAGAGGAAGAAAGCGCTAAGACGGCGGGTACGCTCTTTCCGAAGGTTTCTTGAAGAGAATTCACCGGCAAACGGTAGAAAACTCAGGATCGAAGGCGACGGATCTCTCCTTCTCCCCACTGGGGTCTCCAAAACTCCAAAAGAACGAGCAAAAGGACCGAATCGAGAGAGAGAGAGAGAGAACCAAGAACGGGGGACGGGGTTGAGGCGTATAAAAGGGGGACGACGAAGGGCGCGAAAGCCGACACTTCGGTGTGACTAGCGCCTGAGATCGTGTCCAGTTCATCAATCCGCTCCCGCATCTCAACCGTCGAACAGTGTGAATGTCATCACAATCTCGCGATGGACGATTAGGATACGAGGAAATCACCAAAGAAGATATCTGTGGCTCGATTTTTATTTTCTTTTTTTATAATTGAAATTTTGGAAGGATTCTAACTTTAAATGCTTATTCTTCAACAGAGAAGCTTATTTTATGATGGTTCATTTTTTTTATTTTTAGAGGGTTTTTTAATAGTGATGAAATATAAATACTCCATCTCATATAGGATCATGAAATATAAATGCTCTTTGAGGGTTGATAAGAGTCATAAATCTTATAAATGTTATCAGGTCATTATTAAGAAATTTCTACTTCAAACACTTTGAGCATGTTAGCTATTTAGATTGGATTGAATCAGTCAGCTATCTCATTGGATTAAATCATGATAAAAAATTTATTATTTTTATTCTTAAGTGTACAATAATGCCCTTTGAAATTAAATTCTTTCATCATATCTCTCTGTGTAATGTTGTCTTTAGAATCTTTGCTAAAGTTTTAGCTAATCTCAATCTATGACTACTTTCATCATATCCCATTAATAACACTATAACTTGGTGGCTCAATTCTAAACTTGAGATTAATACTAAGCATTCTATATATTATGAAACTGTTCTTTGATGTCCTTTCAAAGAACATCATAGTTTTCCCTTTTCCCACCATGTGGTTATGCTCTATATCAGTGTAATGATTAAAATGATTTGGGTTCGAAAATTAATGCGTCTATATATATTAAACCAATCTATATCAGTCTATATATATATATATATTATTATAAGTATCCTATGCCGTAGATTATAAGGAGGTATATGCTCTCTCGATCCCTGGAATCTCCACTCACGAACTCAATGCGTCATCCTAAAGATTAATGTGACTGATCGTATTCAAATAAATAAATAAATGAGTCACCTTCAACAATCATTTAAATTAAAATATTTACTCATCACTAGTGGTTTCCGAGAAATAATTGAAGAATATAAGCTCTGTTGTGGTCATGTTGAAAGGGATTGGTGTCCATCTTCCTATTATCTCTGGATTCAAATTCCAAGTTGTCAACCATTTCCTTGTGATCAATTAGCCAAAGATTGTTATATAATATTTTGCGCTACTAAATAAGTGACAGTGATTGTTTTAAACACAAACAAGATTGTTGAATTACTGTACTATTTCAGTCTTTTTCCTAATCATAAATTTTAAAATTGGAGACATTCAAATATACGTTTATGATTAAACATAGGGTGAATTCTTGAAAAAAAAATTATATAACATCTCAATTTTAAAAAATTCTTACAGTATGTGCCTGATCATACAAAAAAATTATTTTATCTTTATCTTGTTGAATCTATCATCGCTTTCATCATGTACCATTGCTTGTAACCCTTGCAGAAGAGTTGTTGTTGCCTCCACTGATATCGTTAGCTCTACACTTACACGTCTCACCCATAATCCTCTCATAAGAAAAGAGGGGGCGCAAAAGTCACCACTATCACTTGTAATCTTCATCATCACTGCTCGCAACTCTCATGTGAGGAAAAAGAGGGTATGAGACCCGTTGCCATCTCCCTGAATCTCGTTAACTCCAATTGTACCTATCATCACCTTCATACATGCATTAACTGTGAGTCTCACATCTCCTTTTTCCTTGTACTATAGTTATCAAAGAACAAAACAAGGGTGGTGAAAAAATACTAATAGGGTAATCAATAATTTGAATCATAAAACCAAAACCAAAATGCCAAAAGAGAGTGCTACATTTCCATTATCGAAGGCATCAAAGTACATATGGGATTTGAAGAAATAATTTATAAAGCTAAAACATAAAAATTGATGTTATTAATAGGGTGATCTTTCTAGAAAATATTCATACGGTAGGTATTCTTTAATCAATATTCTTCATTTTTATATTTTTAAATAGTATCCATAATTTTAAAAATATCCAAATTATTCCTTAATTTTTTTACCACTTATAATTTTTTTTATCTATTACACTGTTTTGATCATCATAATAAAAACACTATAAAGTTTACTTAAAAATATTATAAATGATATAAATAAACTCTTGATCTCAACCAAATTAATTAAAAACATAAAAATGTTATATTGTGATAATCTATGAGCAATGACAACCAATAAGGTACGCTATGATCTAATTTTTAGTGTTTTTTAAAAACGTTTACAATATTTTCGATACATCAATAAAACACTATAAATACTATCGAAAATTATTATAGACAAACTAAAAGAAAACACTATAATAATTAAAAATTAATTAAAATAGATAAAAAAATTAACAAAAAATATTTGAGAAATATTTTAGATATTTTTTAAATTAAGTTATATTTAGAAAAAAATATAAAAAGAGGAAGTAATTAAAAAAATAAAAATATTGAGTATTTTTTAACAAAATCGTCCTTATTAATATGGGTAGAAATAATAATTTGAGGGTTGGTATATAATTAAATCAACGTCGCCCCGTCCTAGTCGGCCTGTAGTGAACTACAAGCCTTTCCAATCTTCCCCCTTTCTCTCTCTCTCTCTCTCTCTCGCCAATCCAACCAAAGGTTTCCCTCAAAGCTCCTCTGTGTTCCTTGTACCTTCCCTTGTCGTGCCCAAACGAAAAAGCTCCGCCTTTGGTTCCTTCTTGGGCTTTGGTTGGATCTCTTCCTCTCGGGTTTCAGCTTCCATTACAGCCATGAGTGCCGGCGGCCAGATGATCTCCGTTCACCCGGAAGAGCTCACATTCGAACGTAAGCCGATGCGATCTCCATCTCCTCTTTCTTATTTCCTCCCTTAAAGATGAAAACTTGTGTTGTGCAATGATGGAAAGTTGCCTTCTTGAGGAACAATAGTTGAGTTGGAGAAGCCGTCTTACTGCAATATCAAGGTCGCCAACAACACCGAACACCATGTCGCCTTCAAGGTATCGGAAACAATAGGTTCATTGTTCGTCTTCCCCCCCTTGATTTCCCTGCCATAGGGATTTGTTTGTGTTGTCTCTTTGACGGGAGGGGCGTGATTTGTGGTGTGGGGTTCTTTTCGGTTCAGTATCTCAGCTGGGTCGTCATAAAAATTGGAATTTTGGGTAATTGGATAGGTGAAGACGACGTCTCCCACAAAGTATTTTGTTCGGCCCAACGCGAGCGTGGTGCAGCCATGGGATTCATGTACTGTAACAGGTATCTCTGTGGATAATTTTGGTTTGATCGACAACCTTTGATGTTACATATCATGTGGAAAACTTGGTGATTCTTTTTCAGTCAGCCATCAAGCCCAAAAGGAGTACCCTCCTGACATGCAATGCAAGGATAAATTCCTCATTCAGAGTGCCAAGGTGCCCCCCAGCAGTGATATGGATGAGATCCCTTCCGACACTGTGAGTTATTGGTGATGTCATCTTGCTCATTGCTTATCAAGAATGTTACATGATTAATTCTTGGATGTGTCTACTGACTCTGGTCCATGCAGTTCAATAAAGACAGCGCTAAGGTGATAGAAGAACTCAAACTCAGGGTTGTTTACACTTTTCCGTCGCAATCTGGCCATGCAAATTCAGAAGAGGAATCTGGTCTTGCTTCTTCAGCTTCCGGGAGACGAGGATCTGATGTAAGATATCGTACTTCTTCTGCATCATGAGCCAATTGGTTTTTCTGTTTAGCTGTTTGTCATTTGTGAATTTTTTGGTTGTATTTGTCAATGCCTTTTTAATGGTTGTAATGGATAATTCATTTTCTTTGAGTTGTAGATGTTCAAGAACTCAAGCATCGAGGAGGTCAGCTACAATTTGACCAAGTTCTTTCCCCTCTTCTTTTACTCTAGAAGATCTCTTAACAAAATTACCTTGTGTTTTCGGCATTCACTCAGTTCTTTCTAAAAGCACTTTCCCCTGCATTAATGTAAATGAAAATAATCTTATATCCTTACCTGATTTAGACATTTTCTAGCTATGCATATAATTGAAATGATGAATTTGGGACCTATAGGTTGGTCTAGGATAACAAAACACATGAAATAATGTCTCTGCATGTTATGTTGTCAGCACATACCCTGTATGTGGTGGTCTTCATGTTGTTTAAGATTGTGTAGCATGTTTAATTTTCTGTTCTTTACCACAAGGAACACAGACAGCTGATAAAATTGTAAGTCTACCACCGAAGACCATTATATCCGTTGTGGTGAGGGTTCTTGTTCTTTTTTTTTTTTTCTTTACTTCTGATTTATTTTTCTCTTCTTTAGATCCAGACGTTACAACGTTTGAAGGAAGAAAGGGATGCCATTCTTCAACAAAATCATCAGTTTCAGAGGGAGTTGGTTTGTATTTAACCTCCAATCATTTCTTTTTAAATTCTTTTAGAAGCTTAAGTAATATTTTGCTGCCTTCCCTTTGTGAAGTCTATTCCATGCATGTGCAATGTTCATGTATATCTTGGTAAATGATTTGACAATTTAGTTAGTGTAGATGGCTACTTACTGTGATACTGTCGATTTGCTTGCCAGTATCATACTGTATGTGCATAGTGATCACGGAGGAAGGATTAATCACTGAACGCCCAAATGTAACGACATTAAGAAGGCTTCGTCTTTGTTAAGCATGTGATGTTAAAGCTTTTTGTGTTGCTATAAGTTCATTGATGATGAAGCATTCTTCTATAGAAGAAGCTACCAGCATTTGTTCTTTAATGTAGTTCACTAGAAGGTTAATTCCCCTGTGCATCAACCCAGTTTTGTTTGGAAACTCATATGAATATCATTTCAGGACATTCTGAAGAGGCGAAGAAACCGCAAAAGTGATACTGGGTTTTCATTAACGTTTGCCGCATTTGCTGGTCTAGTGGGTATAATGGTTGGGTTCATCTTAAACCTTATATTATCGACACCACCAGCCACCGCCTAATCTACATTTGCAAACTTCAGTTGATGTGGATCTTCAACTCTTGCAAAGCATGCTATTTTTCTCAGCATTTGTTTCAGAAAGTTGTTTGTGTTGGAAGTTTCTTCAGCCTCAAATGGTCAAGGATGTTTCTCAGCATTTTCTTGTTTAGTTCAGCGGCTTGTCGGGGTGTGTATTCTTTTGTTGTTTAACTTGTAACTATGAAAAAGAGAAACTTTGGAGGGTGTGAACTGCTTCTTTCCAGATTGTTTTGATTGTACTTTTCCTCTTCATGTATCAGATAATGGATTTGCTTAAGAATTACTTGTCACAATGATAACTTGAGTGGAAAGTTCATCCTCAGAAGGTTTACCCTCTTATATATCACTGTTTATATTTTAAATTTTCTTTTAACAATAAAAAATATTATCCATAATCTGAACTAAAATTTGCAATTTATATGGGGTCATGCAGTAAACAAATGGGATATAATGACACATTCATGCAAACTTTTCTTGGGGGAAAATGTAGGTTTGTGATATGATTTATCCTCCAAATATTTATTTTCCTCTTACATATTTTTATTTTCCTTACGAAACAAAATTATCCAACATTGCGGAAAATATATATCTAATAAACAAAAAAAAATGAAGTAAATACTCACTCGTTCATAATGATAAAGAATTCATCATCATCATCATCATCATCATCAGCATCAAGGTTACAAGAATCCTACGTGGCAGAGATTCATATGGCGATCCGGTGTGTTTGCTGTTTTAGGCAATACACAGCGACATCCGAAGCATGATGCCATCTTGGCTTGCACGTGACACGTGGCCCGTTTAGAGGCCATAATTGAGCAAACTCCGGCCCAGCCTCCCACCTGGAATTTCCACGCGTCTCTCGACAATTGGATACACGCATCCGATCTCCTGGCTTTGCTTGTCCGTTTCTCGTTAACTGCTATCGACTTACCAAGGTGGAACATTGCTTGTTAATCACGTCACCGTCACCACGATGCCCTTCCTTATCTTTAACCCCTCTGTCGCCGATGCGCCCCTCGTAGTGCTCGCCTACCACCGTCTCCCTAAATTTCCCATAAAGCCCCTCCTGTTTTCCCCTTGTTTCGAACCCTCGTCCTTCCCCTCCTCCGCGCCCTCCTGCATCAACCGCATGAGCTGGTTCGGCAAGTTAGGGTTCGTTCTCGGCGGCCGGGGGGCAGCGCCGCTGGCATCGTCGGCGATCGCGCAGGGGCGTGATGACGACGTGCCTGCGACCGGTCAGGAGTTCGCGCAGTTCGGCGCTGGTTGCTTCTGGGGCGTCGAGCTCGCCTTCCAGCGCGTGCCCGGGGTGACCAGGACCGAGGTCGGATACAGCCAGGGCACTCTCCACGAGCCGACCTACGAGGACGTCTGCTCCGGGACGACCAACCACTCCGAGATCGTCCGAGTGCAGTACGACCCTCGGGGGTGCAGCTATGGCGACCTGCTCAACGTCTTCTGGGCTCGGCATGACCCCACCACCGTCAATCGCCAGGTAAAACCTTTGACGCCTTGAAGAACTTTGATCTGATCGATATTTCTCTTATTACATGTTGGTACTTGATATTATTCTAGTTCTTTTGTGTTCGATTGGTACTTGATCGAACTGATAGCTTATCGGTACAACTTTTCTGGTTCTTCTCTCTATCAAGCACCTTTTGTTTTCAGATGTGACTTGACTTCTTTGCCAAGTCTTCTCGATCACTAGCAATTCCTTGTTAGATCGATCTGAAATACAATAATAGTTCTGTTGGATGTGTAAGATGTATTGATTTGATACGACCACATACGATAGGATGCCATAGCGATAGGTTGGATATTGTTGGTGAATCTGAAAATTGAATTTTGATCGGCATATGGTGTACCTCTCATATGGGATTGCTTGATAGATGATCAAAGAAATAAGGTAACAGGGATGAGTTTCTGGATTTCTAAAAAAAATCGTGTTCTTCGAATACATGAAAGTTCTATAGGGTTTATGGTTGAGTTGCAGAGCTTTGGATGAGCTTATTACTTTAGAGAGTTTGGCATGTGTTTTTGTGGTGTATCTGTATCTTGTAGAAGCGCTGGTGAAGATTGTGTAGTCTTAAAGTGTTATTTATCTTTTGAACTCAAAACCTTGGCTTCTCGATTAGAACACAAGCACAGTGAGGGAGCATTTGGCTTTCTATGAAATTTATAAAACCCTGTGAGAGAGAGAGAGAGCAGTCAGGTTCAAGATAAAGGAAGTGCATTTGGCTCCTTTAGAGTCTGATTTATGGATCAAAGAAGCTTCAAAAAGCTTCATCAGCCTGGTCTATCTGTGTAGTACCAAGAAACCCTGTTCTCGTTTGAAAATTTTAGCCTATATGGCAAAACATCATTAATAGTTGAATTTTTTGGCTGGTATCACCATGAAGAGAATGCACGGCATGAAGAATATAACATGGCAATCAAGAACGGGCTGAAGTTTATGAAACAAAGCATGTTGAGAATGAAGTAGATACATATAGAAGGAGATATTCTATGAATAATCTTGATAAGGATTCAATTGTATCTTTGGTATTAAGAGGCAAATGAAAGCCACCATAAGTTGTAAAGGCATCCAAATAAATTTAAGAATTTAGGATCAAGTTTGACGCTGGAACTTGGAACCTGGAACCGGGCTAGATCTCCAAGAGTTTATTATTATATTGAACTAGTTAGGTTCCATTTAGTTTGAATAAATTAAAACAGCATAAACTTGTGCAATTAATTTGAACTCACCACAACAAGCCTGGGATTGGTCAAAATCAAATGGAAATGGCTGGACTAGTTGAAACTTGTCCTGTTGGAATGTGTCCCTCTGTGTTTGTTGCAATCAATTGATTTCAGTTTATTCAGATGACCATGGTTGATTTTCTATTGAACTTGACCCAATTTCACTTTCCTGAGTCCTTTGTGATTGGCTAAGACCAGTGGCATTTTTTGGATTGTAATTCTTTAGGCATCAGTTAGTTTCATTCCAATCCTTTCCGTGGCAAGTGTCCATTTCCCTAGTGGTTGTGAATGATTCTTTCTCTCTCTCTCTCTCTCTCTCTCTCTCTCTCTCTCTCTCTCCTTCCATGGTTTTTTCAGGAAGTAACCCAGATCTTTTTCCCTGGATCTACCAAATTATACACTGAAAGAAAGTGAATTTCATTCAGTAAAGAACCAAAGTCAATATGATCCCATGATTTGTTTGGCATTCTTATTGACGTTATGCATTAAGATATGTAAATTAAGGGCAAGTTGATGGGCCTATTTATTGTTTTGTTTATATATAACATTATAAGGTCAGGTTATGAATGGTTTCATTGTTCTCATTTGTGCATTGCTACCTAGTGCATGAGGCTCCAGCTAATACGGGGTCTGAGAAAAGTCAATGTTTGTAGCCTTATGTTTAAATAATTAAAGAGGCTGGTTCCATGACTCGAATCCATTGTACGAGGCTCCCACTAATGCGGGGTTTGGAGAGGGTCAATGGGAATCAAATAGATTTACTGATGAAACCCAATAATACATGACTAATGTGTATTCCTGTCGCAGTTTCTTCATTGATTGTTTAGAGATGTAGAAAATTTGAGAATTAATGATCACATGGACCATATGTCTCAGGCCTTGTTTCCAGAGTTACAAATCCAAGAACTTGTGACTATGATGATGTATCATCATGCAAAAACATTAAGAAGTAGATTAGTTTAGATGCATGATACTGTATAACCTTGAAAAAAAAGAAAAGAGAGAAAAGGATGAACTCAGGATATGAGGTTTCAGCTAATAGCAGTTTGAGGAGAATCAACATAAGCAACATTACCCTTACAAAAAGGAAAAACTATTTCCTAACTCAAACCAAACCATAGTTGTCCATACCGAAGCTTGCCCTCTACCATACAATTGGCATTCAAGTATCAACAACCTTAAAAGAATGTATACCTAGCGATTGGCATTCAAATTGTTAAAAGTCTGGTGGTGTTTACATTTGCATGCAGGGAAATGATGTTGGGACCCAGTATCGCTCTGGAATATATTTCTACACAGCAGAACAAGAAAAAGCTGCCCGAGAATCTATGGAGAGGCACCAGAAGGCCTCGAGCAGGAAGATTGTGACGGAAATCCTTCCTGCAAAGAAATTCTACAAGGCAGAGGAGTATCATCAGCAGTATCTCGAGAAAGGTGGGCGCTTTGGGCACAAACAGTCTGCATCCAAAGGTTGCTCTGACCCTATCCGCTGCTACGGATAAAAAAAAAAGGCTAGTGATAATAACAATCCCAAAACTGCAGCATAGTTTGTTCTTCCATAAAGATATGATATATATAGATAGTGTTGTGATATGAGCTCCATATATTCTGATTTGAGATCTTGAAACTGTCGATATGATATATTTAAGCTTAAAGGAAACTATTATATGTCTTGTTAGGTAGAGCCAGCAGTCATCATATTTTTCTGGCACTTATAGCTTGCATTGTGATGGGGCACACAGATCATCTATTTCTTTTTTGATATGGTATGATGCTGGATTGCTTTGTGATTGTCCAAGTTATCTTCAGATTCATACCTGGAAACTCTCGGAACATGTTAAAAACCAAGCTGACCGGTGGTTCTGTGTTGCAGTCCATTGTTTACCAAGTCATTTTGCCTCCTTGCTTTTTATTTTTGAAGCTCGAGTTTTCATCTCCGTGTTTCCTCGGTTTGTGACATCCTGAGTCAAGAATAACAATCAGACGGCCCTAAACTAAGTAAAACAACAAACGTCCGGCAGATTAGAGATTGGCCTTGAGAAATATTCTCGCAAATACTCTGGAAAAACAAGGATAGATGCCACCAAATAGCCAGTAAAAAGTTTGGGTGGGGAATACACGACCAACATGACATAACTTTCAAATTGTCCCAGACGCTTGGGTTAACCAAGCAAATGTCGGAGCTTAAGGAAATATATAGGAGGACGCTTGGGTTAACCAAGCAAATATCGGAGCTGAAGGAAATAAATAGGACCACTGGTCAACCATGACAAATTTAAGGCAGCAAATAGTTCATCCCTACTCGTAGATCCAGGGGTGGAGGTTGCTCTGCCACTCGGCAACACCTTCAGGAAACCACAAAGCAATCTCTTTGCTCGCACTCTCGATCGAGTCGCTTCCATGAATGACATTCCTGCACAGAAGCAGCATATCTCTATGTCAGGCCACTTTGCATATCGGATTTGATTGAAGGTAAAACCCATAAGTTGTTTCTAGAAAGCATTAATTCAAAGTAGATACTGCATTATGTCCACTGAAAAGAAGCATCATTTCTGTGGGTTGCCTCTTTTCCTTCTGGATTTTACCTTTCTTGCTTCCTTGTTTTACCCTAAATCCAAAAGCACTAGCATTCATGAACAAGTCGTAGCATGACTGCAATCTTACTGTGCATGAACACCAGTAGTTGATGATGGACATAATATATCTTTGAATCCAAGGTAAAAAGAACTTTGTTCATTTACCTGTCTTAGCAAAGTAGGCTAACTTTCAAGTCTACCTGACATGTACCCCTTCAATTTTGTGTCATGCAACCTGCAATGTACGCCTTTTCCAAGTCTATCATCCTGACATATTTGTATTGCTCTTCCCTTTCACTTAGCTCAAGATAGGAAGAGCATATACCGTTTGGATCAGCCACAAAGTTCTTACCCAATCAAAAGGCGTTGAACTCCTCAGTGGCATGAGATAAATGAAATTGTTCTAAATTAATCGAAATGCAAAATCATGTCATATAGATAACTTGAAGACCGTAAAACCAAAATTAACCAACTGTAATCCACTCAAATACGCTACTCAAAAAGTATTCCTGCTATCTGTAACGGATCAAATTAAGATAGTAGGGAAAAGGAAATCACCTGCCGATCTCGATCGCAAGGTCCCCGCGGATGGTGCCGGGGGCGGAGTCAGCCGGGTTGGTGGCGCCGATGATCTTGCGACCAGTGACGACAATGTTCTTCCCCGCCCACACCATCGCGACCACGGGACCCGAGATGATGTACTCCACCAGTCCTGCAAAGAAAGGCTTCGCAGAGAGGTCGGCGTAGTGCTTCTCGGCGAAGGAGCGCTCCACGCTCACCATCTTCAAGCCTGATGCATGGCACCAAAACCAGATTCGATCCTCCTCTATCTTCACAAGGAACAAAACGAGCCGCGGCAGGTAACAGTCTTACCTTTCAAGTAGAAACCCTTCTTCTCGAATCGGCTAATGATTTCCCCAACCTGATGCACGAATCAAAGAATTTCACTAAATCAAAAGGAAAAAAAAATCCTCGAATAGAAAAAGAAATCTACCAGTCCTCGTTGGACGCCATCAGGCTTAATCATGATAAAGGTCTGCTCCATCTCTGAGCTGGGGCTTCCTTTCCCTCCTCTCGCCGTCGCAACCTAAAACCCTAACTTGAGACGAGAGAACCAAAGGCAATAGCCTATATATATAGCCGAAGCGAGAAAGAGCCAAAGGCGGCCTACAAAACGCCAACAATAGCTTCATCCAGAGAAAATTCTGGAACCACTGTCGTAATGTGGGCTCAGTTCAATACTCGTTCATGGGCTTTAAACCCATTTGGTAGCCCAATTATATTCTTGATGGGCTTTCCTTTGTATAGATCACATATATAACTTTTGCTTCTTAAGTAATTGAAGGTGTTGGTAACGCGTTAAATATGCTAAATTGGACGGAATGCCCGTAAAAATTTATACGGAAATGCGATTTATATCAGGTATGTGATGTGATAACACCAAAATCATCTTTTTTAAGTAACTATTATCTATTGTTCATGAAAAATTTAGGAAATGTACTTGAAATATTTCTAAGTAATAATATCTGATGTCAATATATATATATATATATATATATATTTATTTATTGTGCATCTCCTCTTTTAAGAAATGGTGTACCACACGAAAGATATCTTTTAAGAAAGGGATTAAGTGCTTGGCATTTGGTCATTTAGTAGTAAGCACACAAACCCCACCCCATTCCATATTCGTTCAACCATGGAGGAGGAGATGGTGGAGAGAAGGCAAGGCTTCCCCACCTATTCACCTCATCTCCTTTTTGCCCCACCATTTAATTTGATTGCACAGTGGACTCATCCCTTCCATTGGATTGCTTAGACTCCAAATCACACCGCCCCAATCTGACCCTCTATTTTTCTATTGTTCTCTTTCTTCTTCATTCTTCCAGTCTCTCTCTATCCTTCTCTCTCCCACCTCTTTCCTCTTTCCTTCCCCCTTCCCCACACTCCCTGGTCGTCTTGGACTGGGAAGAAGAATTCTAGAGTTTGGTGTTGGTGTTTATTCAAGAGCAGCCAGTGCTTGCTTTTAGTATTGGCGAGTCTTTCAGGACCCAGTGGTTTGGTTTGGGGAGGCCTGCAAGAAGATCTTGTATAAATCCTTCTAATTTTAGCGGAAATTCTCACATAAAAACACGATTTTTGTGTTTTTTAGCTTCCCTGTGTTTTGGGTCGATTTGTATTGGGATTAAAAGGGGAGGAGGAAAGGAGTGGTACGTATGGGAAAGCAAGGACCTTGCTGCCATTGTGGAGTTACAAGTGAGTTCTTATCCATGTTTATGAGCGATTTTGGATCTCTTTCTTGACTCTCTGATTTGTTTCTTTCTCTTTTTTTCTTGTTTTTTGGGTTCTATTTTTTATGTTTTAATTTATTATTATTATTATTATTATTATTATTATTCTTTCTTCTTGTTCTTCTTCCAATTAATTCTGCTCCCCCAGGTGGTTGCTTGCCTGCAGATTTAATCACCAATACTTACTGAAGGCATTTTGTGATGCAAAGGTTTCATGTTATGGTCCTAAGAATCATAGGGTTTTTGGCTGTTTCCTTCTATTTGTTGCCCCGCATCCTGTTCTTCTAAGCCTGCATATTACCAATTAAATCTAATTGAAGTCTGTTCTTCGTTTTGTTAAGTTCTACCTCTATTTTTATCATTTTAAATCCACAGGTGACGTTTTTGTACCTTTTGCAGTTTCATGACTCCAAATTGCTTCTTTGAAGCATCTCAATATCTATGCCAAACAAACATCCTCAAAATAAAGGACTTTTAGCAGTGACAGCAAAAATTATTTTAGGGAGATTCCAGTGACCTGCAATGGGGATTGCAAATTGGAGGCTGTGTTTCCTTCTTCCTGCTTTGGTAGTCAGCAGAAGACTAGGCCACCACTTGTTTAGAGTGATTTCCCTTGGTAGTTTGTCCACTGGCAGAAAAATTTAGTTTACCACAATGGAATTTGTACATTGTATTTAACTGGATGCAATTAGATGGAATTTCATAATGAAGACATTACTCACTGACTATTGTTGGGACATCCAATATCATGCCATTGGACTGGCTGCATTTGTAGGTTCTAGTTCGGTAGATATTCCAAATTCGGATGCATCCGAAAATGAAATTTGTTTGACATGTTTCCAATAATACTTAACTGGAAGAGAATGCAACAATTAAGACAAAAGTTCACAATAAATCTTATGGGAGAAGTGATGTCTCTCTAGGTTTGTGTTCCTACTCCACATTGATCTTCAAAGAGTTTATCATGTTGTACCATACTTTGGAAACACCAATTTCTTTTTCACAAAGCACATTTACTTAGAAAATAGGGCTAACTGCTATTCAGTCCATTCTGTGATGCCAAAAGCTAAACTCTTCTTTTATTGATTACTTACTATGAGCTTCATAGATGATAATAAGCATTTGATTATTTCAAGTAGCAAATGACATTCGTTGTCTGATTTTCCCTTAGTCTCCGATAAATTTTCTTTTGGTCACCCGGTTTTAGGATGTGTTTTTAGAACTCAAATCGGAAGTTATATGAATATCCATTGGTAGCATCCATGTGGTTGTCTGTTTTTCTTGTTTGTTAATAAGACTTCTTACTTGTCAGATAATCACACCATGCTGTGTCTGTTGGTACAGATTATAAAAGATATTTATTGATTAACAAACTTGTTATTCTCTTTTATTGTTCAAACATTATCCAAAAAATAGACAATCAAATTCGGGCATTAGGAACTTAGGATTCTAATAGCAATTCGAAGTTGATGGCCTAAGACAGGAAAAACAAATTACGCTCAGGTAATAGTCATCTAAACGGGTTTATCATGCTGGTTATGGTTCATGGTGTGCTGATTTTTATTGGATTGCTTAGGCCAATATTACATACTGTTTGCTTGCATGAGTATGGTTTCTGGAAGGATATGATCGATGCAATTCTCATGTTCTACTTCAGTTACCTTTGAACTAGCATATCTTTTCATGGGTATTGAACACTGGGTTCCTTTTGTTCATTTGTTAACATAATTCAGTCATCTTTGTCTTCATTGATAAGCTTATTGCGTTTGTCTTCCTTATTTTCACTTGTGTTTGTTTGAAGGGCAAGAAAACTTGTTTTAGTTAAGAATTTGCATTTCCATGTCACTATTCTCTTTGACTTATATAGGCTTAAGGTTTGTGTTTCTGAGCAATCATATGCTGAAGCTTAATATTGAATAGGTACCCCACTTTGGCGGAATGGGCCACCTGAAAAACCAGTTTTATGCAATGCATGTGGTTCGAGGTGGAGGACCAAGGGTTCATTGACAAACTATGTACCACTACATGCTCGTGAAGCCTTTGATTCAGATGAGCTAAAAGTTCCAAAAATAAAAAATATATCCTTTAAGCCTAAAGAGCATAAGTTGCAAAAGAAAAAGCAAAGCAATAATATATTGGAAAGTGAATGTGAAATACAGTATTGTGATCAAAACTTTCATAAGATTGCCGAGGGAGACACGAGCAATCGATCCAGTTCTGGCTCAGCCATATCAGGTTCAGACAGCTGTGTACAATTTGGCACCACTGATGCAAGTGATGTAACAGGTTATTATTATTTTTGTTATTTGTTAGCCGTGGGCAATATTCTTTCTTGATCAAAAACTTGACTTCCTTTTTTGAGAACCTAAAAGATGTATAATGCACTGACTTTCTTGTTCTAGCTGGTTTGCTTGCATATTTCTTCTTCCTGAAGTGAAGGTTCTTATATTGCAAATTAAACAATACAGTTTTGGATTTGGCTATCAGATTTTAGTAAGTTAGATATGCATCCATTGCAAGCTAAATGAGTAAGACAAGCTTTCTTTGGTTTATTAGATTTTCTGCTATACTTTTTATTACCATGTGATGAGATATAGGTAGACACCAAAACATGGTAGTTTCATAGAAGAGTTCTGGTACGTAAGGGTTATTTGCAACTTTCAGCATCAAGTATCTGGAGTTTCTTATTGATGTCATGTTAGGCTCTTGCCTGTCACCATAATTTATGTATTGTCATTCAAAAGCTTTTTAGTTTGCTTTTCAGGTTCAGTGCAATCAAATGTATGGGATTCACTTGTGCCATCAAAGAGGAGGACATTTGTGACTCGCCCAAAGCCTTCTCCTGTTGAAAAGCTTACAAAGGACCTATGTTCCATATTGCATGAAGAACAAGCTTCTAATTTGTCAATAACCTCAGAAGATGATTTACTTTATGAAAGTTTAACTCCATTTGACTCTTCGGAGATCGGGTATGGAGGTGTACTGATTAAACATCCAAACTCGAAATCTGTCGAGGAGGAATCAGAAGCCAGCTCACTTCCAGTGGATAAATCATATCTTCGTAATGAAAGTTATACAGGTTCATCCTTTCCAGTAAATATTGAAGGCAAAGGGACAAGTTTTCTGAATTCTGGTACTGGCACAATGAAGTCTACAACACAATTGGCTCAAGAGAATGTGAAAAGGTACTTTCTTGCATACACAAAGGAACAAGAGAGAAGCTTATCCATGGATGATGCTCTTCAGGATCAGACTTATTGAAAACAGAATATTACTTCTCGCTAAACTCATATTAGTTGCAAAATTAACCTAATTGAATCTTAAACATGCTTTGTTTCTGTCCCTTGCAGGGGTAAAATTTCACATGAAAAGTTAAAAATCTTGCGAGACAGAGAATCTCCCCTGACTTCTGCAGATTTAAATGTAAGAATGTAGTTCTTTTATGTTTTTAGTTTCTACATCAGTGCCTTATAGTCTATTTTAATGGGATCTGATTTGACCACTTTCCCTTGGTAGATTATTGTCAAGTATGATGTTTTCATGAAATACCTGACATACGAGGAACGGCAACAATTGATGAAATATCTGCCATCTATAGACACTGTGAAACCTCCTGAAAGGTTTGTTGCATATGTATAACTTTATTCTTCTAATGAGATGAAGTTGCTCTCCTGTTCTCATACTTTCTTATTCTTGATTTGGCAGCCTCAAAAACATGTTTGCCAGTCCCCAATTCCTGGAGACATTGTCTTACTTCCAGCAACTGCTTCAGGAAGGAGTTTTTGATCTCTCCTTGTCAGGAGCAAATGCTGAGGAGTGTAGGAACCTGAAAAGGCTTGTACTACTAAATTGTTCAAATCTTCAATGGTTGGAGTGCTATCAAAAAATAAAGGTAAAAGAATTGGTCTTTACAAACTAAGCATAGGGTGCAAATCTGATGAGAATTTTGTATACTGAGCTCTTTGAATTTTAAATGGTTATTTGGTGTTCCGATTGATTATGAAAACCTCATTTGTTTTAGGATGCACCCTCCAAGAAGACAAGAGGAGGAAATGGAACATCTCCCAGACGGAAGCTTACTGGTCTTTCCAATTTCTCATCCCTGAAAAGGCATCATGATAAGCAAAACCGGGACTATCCAGGTTTGCTTCTTCGATGTTTCTGCTAAACAAATAAAATATGTGAATGACCTTCACAGCATTAGTTACAAAAATTGTGTATGTGAAATGGTTTGTTTTTCATATGGTAATATTATTTCCAGAGTTGGTGAAAGTTGTAAAGCTACTTTTTCTGCACAACCATGCATGATTTTGATGGTAATATCGACCAGAAAGAGAGAGATTAAATGTACATTTTTTAGAAGAGACATACATATTTATCTCGACTGTCATACATGTCGTACTGGGATACCTAGGACTTCATTTTTTTGCTTTGTTGTTTTAGTCATCAACAACAATGCATGTCCTGAATGCAACTAGCAACCTCCCCAGACTCCATATGACCCTACATGTACATGTTGTTTTAGACAATACATGTCATAGCTAGCATGACCCTCCCCAGACCCCGCGCTGGCGGGAGCCTCATATACTGGGTACGTCCTTTTTGTTTTAGTTATCAAGGGAGACAAAGTCATGCTAGCTAGAGCTTTGATCTTTTTGGGCCAGTTAGATTGCCTAATTAAAGTTTCTCGACAATGTAGGATCATGTTTATATTAGGGCATCACATTTATCTTAAGGACTGATGGAGCACGATTATGATGGTTCTGTTTTCTATAGATTCTAGAACTTCAATGAATACCACGATGCTGTAACCTAGGAATCACATATTTATCATCGTAATCTCCACTTTGAGTTGTTAAATTTCCTTTTCTTTCTATACAAGTTTTTTCCATAGAGAACAAACAATTTGTATAGTTTGTAAAGCTTTGGGATATGACTCTTAAAAAAGCGAATGCTTTTCATCTTAGATGGAAATTGTGTCAATCATAACCATTATAAAGAAATTTATAGTTTTCCATATTCAAGTATCTACTTCTTTCGAAATGTGTTTTTGCATATCAGATAGTTGACTTGTTAGTTGACTTGTCTCTCCTAACATAATTGGTAAATGAATTTCAGAGCTAAGCACCGTGAGAAGCTCGAAAAAGTTATGCAAATCTGGACGCATGAGCCCTCCAAGAAGTTCAACTCAGCTGGAATCTAGTATAGTTTCCAAAGTAACCGATGACACGGTGGACATTGCAGATCACGAAGGTGGTTGCTCGAGTCCAAGAAGAGTTTTGGCATCTCCTGATGATAGGAGCTCCATGCTAGCCTCGGTGCAGTTCATCGCCGACAGTCCCGAATGCGACTTGCTTCTGGATGTGCCTTCCGGTGCATCATTTGCCGAAGCGGAACTTCTGTACCATCCATGGAAACAGAAAACGAACCGGAATGGTTCCTGGACGGAGAGTGGAGTTGAAGCTTCCGACCACCCATCTTCAAGTTTCACCAACAAATAGTCAAGGCGTTGGTGGCAGACACAGTAGTATAATCGAATCGATCGTTTCCCTTTGAACATAACCGAAGGACGAGTGCCTGAAATATGGTGTTAAACAGTCTTCTTCTCTCACCTCTGATAATTCACTCTACTTTTTCCAAGTACGCTGAAAACTGAGCGTTGCCTTTCTTTTATTCCCTGGCAAGACGGTTGTAATGTAACTCGAGGAGTAAAGGAGGAGTTTGTATAAACTGTAAAGAATTGGAGTTGCGGAGTTTATATATGTTGCTCGTCACCATTCCCTGTGCTTTGAAGCGCTGTTGTACAGACACAGTCGGAAGTGTTGCAGAGTGATTGATTTGGTCATAGTGTTGCTCTGTTCCCCTGCCTTTCCCGTCTAGATTGCGGCCACTCTGTCTGCAGCTGTAGAGAAAGGCTCCCAAGGCAGAGATCTCTTTCGAGTGCGATTGGAATTCAAGGCTTGCTTCTCCGGGGATCTCTTTCCGGAGAATGGACCAATCGGAAAACGCCATGACGAGCTTAATCTACGGTGTCGGATGGCTGCTGTTATCTACTGCTGCCTCGTAAGACTTCCTCTGCGTGTTTTGGTGAGACAACTCTGGCGTTGATGGCTGGAGAACAAAGAACGCATGCTGCCCTCGAGATCCGATCAGCGTGCCTTGCACGTGCGAGTTATGGAATTCTCATAGGATGATGACGATGATGATGATGTTCGTGGCTGCAATTGGGTCCCACGTGTTCAACCATGAATGTGATGGAGCCACGCGGGATGAGGAAGCTTTGGGGATCGATCTTTGGTAAACGCGTGACTGCGACTCCCAACTTTTAGGGGGCTTTAATGGGGAGAAATAAAAAGGACTAAAAAAGAAAGATACGTGTTGTCATCGCCCCAAGTCCCCACCTCGGCCATCGACCTCACGTTTTCTTCTTTCTCTCCAGCGAACAGGGGAACGGAGAGCCCACAGTCTTCCCCACCACCAAGGCGGAGCACAATGGCGACCTACGGCGGCGTCCTCCGGCGCTCCGCGGCCGTCGTGGAGCGCGCCCGCGACAGCGTTCGCTTGACCCGCAAGGCCCTCGCCCGCTTCGCCCGCCCACAGTCCTTCGCGGCCCCGCCCCACGCCGAGGCCGCCGCCGTCCGAGCCGTCCGCAACCTCCGCTCCTTCCGCCTCCACTACGCCCTCCTCCTCTGGGTCCTCCTCCTCGCCTCCCTCTTCCCCCGCCACCGCGCCACCATGCTCTTCCTCATGGCCGCATCCAAGCTCGCTCTCCTCTACGGCGCCCTCCTCAAGGCCTTCCCCAATTCCGCCCTCCTCCGCCGGATCTTGGACCGCAGGATATCCGCCGCGCTCGCGCTGACCGTGATCTGCGCCGAGCTCGTGATGACGGGGGCCGTGCCGCAGTTCCTGCTCGCCATGGGCATCGGCGTGCCGCTCGTGCTGTTCCACGCCCTGTTCCGCGTGCGGGACGATCTGACGGCCAGCGGCGAGGAGACGGCTGCCGGAACCGGTGGCGATCCGAGGCCGATCTCGGAGAAGAAGGGAGATCTCGAAATGGGATCTCGGTAACAATATCCTTTATGTTTTTGTACTCTTTTAACTCTTTTTATCCTTTCCCTTTTCTTAATTAATCTCATTCTACTTCTACTTTCTTCAATTCATCGATCTCTTTTCATCTTACTAAATGGAACTCGCGATGTATACTGATCGGAGGAAATGTAGCAATTGGAGATGGGTTGTGATCATGAGAACGAGTGTGCAGATTGCTTTGTGATGTAATTTTTGGTAGGATCGCTGGACATGCATATTGCTCTGCATTGTCTGCAGAGCAAAAGCTGGTGCTTGTTTTGCTGATTCACCACCTGCCAGTTTGATAGTAATGAAAGAAAAAGTCTTTTATTCTAATTATAAGACTGCTGTAGCAAAATAGTTAGTCACATTAACAACATTGTAGTCTAGTAGATACATGACTTCTTAGTTCCATCCAATTATGCGATTGTAGGGAACCTGATGGGAGGCTAAATGGGCTGTGTCTGCTTTGTCCAAGTCTGTGTGCTGTCTGTCTCATGCTGGTTGAATTAAGTGCAATGAAAACTCCGATGCAATAACTATCATGTTTATTTCCTTTGATGAACAGACAAAATATTAGGTGTGGGATTCTCAAATCGTGTTGATGATTGTATTTACTTGTTAGGTGTAGCATTTGGATCAAAAATCGTCAAACCAGACCACTACTGCCACCACAAGTCTACTTAGTTCATGACTGCATCCTTATAATTGAATTGCATCTTATTTGACTCTATTTATTATGCTTGTTCATGTCACAACAAGGAAAGCATCAATTGACAGATATGTGATGTTGTAATATAACAAGCACAGCTGTTTGGTAAAGCAGAATGTCCCGTCTTTTGATGAAAGATCTTCAATATTACTATACAAAGCACTCTCGAGTCAATGTAACTTTTTTCATAAAGAAAAAAGAACTAATGGATGATTCTTGATGAACAATTATCTAATGATACACCATTGATTGTTAGTAGCATATAAAAGCTTGAGAGGCATTACTTCTTCGTCACTAGTGACAGCATTTGAACATATCAACTGCACACCTCATCTCTCTGAAGACAGCATTTCCGTCCCAGCATTACCGAGATGCGGTATTCATGACCTGAACACTGTTCTGATCGAATGTTACACAAGTGTAAACATAAATGTATCGACTTTGACTTGTATCTACCGTGATCTCTTTCATCCGGTATTCATGACCTGAACACTATTCTGATCGTGTAAACATAAATGTATCGACTTCGACTTGTATGATCTCTTTCATCCAGCATTACTAACAAGAAGTAGGCGGTTCAAATTTCACGCTCTGACAAGTTGGGTTGTTATGCTGTCATCCTTGCTTGACCCGCTGATGTTTTGCCAGTCTTGTTTGATCCAGCCAGTCAGTCTTTTGCCTTGAAGAAAACCGGTGGCACCTTGAACCGTGTCTTCAAGACTTCAACCTGATCTCTGCAAGGATCAACGGCGTTCCAATGGACAAGGAACCCAAGGTTCAACTTCCATCTGCAACATCCCTTCCTGAAAATGACCAAGGTCTAAACGACCATAAGCACATTTGATCATGAATCGAACCTCATTACCCAGGCTAGCATGGTTTTGAACACATGGATGAACACTGAAGAGTCAAACAGCAATTTATTGGGAAGAGAATCTTTTGCTTACACAGTAGAAAGCCACTAAAACACCCTAGACACGAGAACTTACCAAGTGATTGTTGGGTTTTCATCCAAAAGATTGTTATTTTCAGTTTATAAGAGATAAAGATGAATGTAAAAGAAATACAACTTTCCTGACATACTTTGAAGTATATCGATTACGTACAGTGAATCTTGCATCTACACAAAATTGGCACGTGCAGAACTTGCTGATGAAAATCTTGTGCAGAGGGGACTGCATTAATATTACATATTCTACAGGAATTGACAGCATTTTCCCAGAAACCACATAAGAAGGTATGTCGATGCTATAGATAACAATCAAAACTCTGCATCTAATCATGTCAGTTTAAGGTTTTCTGCAAATAGACACACTGAATGATTAAACTGATCCAAGAATAATCGATTGATCTAAGCATAATAAAACCCACTACAAGTTAAAAGTTTATCCACAGCAGATACCTCTGAAATAGTAAGATAACCATGAAATCTTGTATAAACAAGAACGTATTGCTTGCGAAAAGGACTGCATCAATTGTAGAACTTGCACACCACAAAATTACAACAGTGATTGTCTCCTTATATATAAGTACTTGCAAAGAGTAAAACACACGTTATTAGATAAAGTCATCAAGGCACCCGGAGAATTGTGATTACCATCTACAGATTCATTTAATATTTGCAAGGAGCATATTGAGGTTACCCGTCATAATACTAGATATAGTTAATGATAACTTCATTCCCTAACACTAACTAACAGATAATGGCTCCTCCAATACAAATTTTGATTGTCTGAGTACCAAATGCAGTTAAACAAGTGATTTATGTAGTCATACAAAATGTCTTGCCAAACCATAAATTCACACTAGCATGATAACTCTCACCACCCAGAATTGTGTTACAAAATGATCTCTCTTGTTCTAGATTGAAAAACAAGATTCCATGTGCACCTAAGAACAGCAAAATGACAGTACAACTCGAAACATACATTTGTTCTGGTACTAAGTGTGAACTTCAAAAGCTTGCTGATAAAATCCTACCTGATCATCAGCCCACACTTTTACTTCGGCATCTTATCATCCTACAAACATATAAGGGACTCCTTTGTTAGCACAATCATATGCTAAATAGAGCTAAAACTCAAAATTTGTATAAGCAGAATTACCTCGAGATCATACACACCAATCTGCGACCACCTCCTAAATTCCGCGGGATCATAGCCACCAAGCTGCGACCACCAGGCAGGTGGGAAGTCTATCCCCTTCATTTTTGCAATCTCCAGTATGTCAGTGTCGGCAAACCTTGTGTTGGGTTTTCCAGCAAACATCTTAATGGCATCAAGAAGATACATCCGCAACCGGTCATCTGCAACTGCAGACACCATTGCACTCAGGTTCACAGACGATTTCTCTCGAGCATGAGATGCACAACTAGTCCCCTCCTCTGATGGAGGACTTATGATGGATGCTGGCAGCTTCCTTGGCTCTGGAGTTGCTCTGGAGGCAGCATTTTGATCGCCAACTGCAGGCACCATTGCACTCGGGTTCTCAGGTGACTTCTCTCGAGCACGAGACGCGCAACTAGTCCCTTCCTCTGGTGGAGGGCTTATGATGGAAGCAGCATCTTGGTCTCCGATGGCACGATCCAGGAGCTCCGGTGATTCACGAGATTCGCATCTTCCCGTCAAGTCACTAGTTGCGCCACGGGGGTTATTTGATGGGAGATTGAGCTGTTGATCAAATTTCGATGGTTCTTCGCGGAAACCAAACCCTAGAATCCCAATGCCTTCTGGTGGCGATTCAGTAGTAGATTCCGTGGAAGAAACCTGCGTGCTCCTCAATCGCTTCTTCGAAACCCTAACTTCCTTGTTTCCGCCACCAGGGGACCACGAACCATCCCGGCCGGCGTGGGGAACCTCTCCGGTGGGCGCATGCAAGAGATCAGCCCCGGTGGATGTTCTTCCCTCAAGGGGCGAGGACTGTACGAGGATGCCACCGGAGGATGCGGCATCACCGGGCGCGGCGGGAGACTGAGAAGGAGAATATGGTAAGGATAGAAAGACGACGGGGGAGTCGGCATAAGGCATGTCGCTAAGCCCGACCCCGGAGGGGGAGGCGCAGTGGGGTGGGGCCGAGGAGGAGTCGCTGTACAAGTCGACACGGTGGTCGTTGAGGAAGCGGGAGCACAGAAGGCGGTCTTCCTGAGAGGCGGAAACCTCACGACACTCAAGCTCGACGGAGGCGAAGAGGTCCATGGTACCTTATCGTCACCGCGACGCTTCTATCGTTATACCCTAATGGTTATTTAACTGATTTGATTTAAATATTAAAAATAATAATATCTAAAATACTTCTAACTATTTTTACGTGCTTATTAAAGACGTTTAAGGAATGATATTCTTAATTAATTTTTATCTGGAAATATTTTTATTAATTTAATACAAATATTTTTTTTTCTCTCAATCAAGATGCTTAATGAGAGTGCCAACAACGAAAGTAACATTGACTACAAAGAAAAAAAAAAAGAAACGAAAAAAAGGAAAGATGAGAGAGCGATGAATACGAAAATGATTAATTAATGAAGATGAAAAAATATTTTCATCAAAGTAAAAAAAAAAATTCTCATATAAAAACTAATAATGGATCATCATCGCATCTTATAAAAACTTAATATCGAAGATTTTTTAAGATAAAATATCTAAAAACATTTATATTTATTTATAATTTTGATTAAATAATCAAGAGATAGATATCAACTAGTTACCAGCTTTTAGAGCATATATATCAAATTGACATGGTTAAATAAAAGTTCAATGTAATATACATGCAATTTTATCTATTTATTTGAAGCGATGCTTTTGGATTGAAATGGGCGTTCGTGGAGGGATTTTACAGCTTAAACCTACTCCGTTGGCCGTCGTCTCCTAATTAAGACTGCACTGGAATCAAAGATCATATTATTAGATTATATGATCCTTTATAATTAGAAAAAAATATATAATAAAATTAATTAAATCAAACGTCAAACTCGTATGCACTCAAAAGATGAACGAGAAGTTGGGAAAGAGAGACTATTCGGAGAATACCAGCAGCTATAGTGCAAATTGAACTTAAATTTCCTGTTGCTCGAGTTCTAATATATTCCAAAAGCTTCGTACTTGTGTTTGCCGGTGGGCAAACTCCAGCAAGTTGTGGCAGAAAACAGAAAACTCCGAGGCACAAAGATGAAATGTTTTGTATAGAATACTTAAATTAGTATCATTTTTATATCAATTTTTTATTAAGTGGGGAGCAATATAATTATGCATGATCTTTTTCTCCCTTAATATAAATTAATTATTATAAAAATTATTTTATTTTTATTTAAATTATTAACTTTATTATGTGTATAATATGATTAAAGAAATAATTAAAATTGATTTCCTTAATTGCATGTATAAATTAGTAATTTTATCAATTAATTAAATTATTAATTAATTTTGTTTTAATGAGTGATGTATTTTTTGAAAGTAAATAATTTAAATTTAAATATTACAATTCTATCTTTGTGTTTAAAAATAATTTAAAATTTAAAATTAAATTATTACTTACCTATTTTGAAAAAGATAAGACATGGCTCATAATAAGACTCGGCCTAACTTGTGAGTGAGGCTCAACCAATTCTGCGAAATTAGGTCCATCAAGCTATGTGACCAGCCTAAATTTATGGTTGCCCCTTTATTCAATCCATTGTATCTCAACCTAATCTCTTATCCTAGATAGGCATGTATAGTGCATGTGATCTATCCAAGACTTAGATGAGTTGATTCAATCTAGGATAGCATGATGCGATATATTCTAATTTCCTAATTTAAACTCGTTAATTTATTGAATCAGTGTTTGATTGGCTCAAGTCGGTTCAAGGTGACTCTAGACTAACTTGATAAGTTTTAATCGACTTGACCTAATTGAAATCAATTAAATCTAAAATAGATCAATCTAAGGTGATTTCAAACCAGTTTTATAATGATTTGAGGTTGATTTTATTAGGTCATAAGTGAATTGAGTTTAGTTTAGGTTAATTGGGCTATTACAGTTAGAGTTCTAGCTGATTGAATATGATAGTTGATCGAATATGAGAGATTGATGTCTCATATATGTATTATTTGATGAATTTAAGATTTTTATCTAAAGGTATCATTTAGAAATGATTATTATTTTTTAAATTAAATTGAAGATATGTTATGATTATTACGTTGTAATATATGTAACTATACTTAGCGGTATACATTGGAAGTATTATATATATATATATATATATATATATATATATATATATATATATGCATCAATCTCTCAATAGTTTTTAATCAACTAGAATTGGGATAGCCCAATTAACTTAAACTAAACTCAATTCAATTAGGATCTAACAATATCAACCTTAAATCTTTATAGAACCGATCTAAAATCACTCTTTACTGGTTTATTTTAAATTTTATTAATTTTAATTAGGCCAAGTAAGCTAAAACTTATCAAGTTTGTCTGAAATCATCCTAAATCAGTTTGAACCGATCAAACACTAATTTAGTCAACTAACAAGCTCAAATCAATAACAGATAGCCCAATTAACAAGCTATCCTAGATCAAATCGACCCATCTTAATCTTGGATGATTTATGTGTGTCACACATGTCTGTCTTAGGTAATAAGTTGGGCTAAGGTCCAACAGGTCAGATAGGACGACAACGATATATTTAGCGCCAATTATTTAGTTGGGTGGGCTACTTCACAAGCTAAGTTGAATCGCACTTATAAATTGGGCTGAGTATTACCACTAAATTGGGCCATACTTAACTCATGTATTGGGTTATGCTTGGTCACATGTATTGAATCATGGTTGACGATATGGATTACGCCACACTTAGTTACATGAGTTGGGTCTTGCTTGACCACATATGTTAAGTTATGCTTGGTCACATGAGTTACACCACACTTGACCATCATAGGCTGGGTTATACCTAATAACATGGGTTAGAATTGTATATGGCCAGATGGGTTGGGTCATGTCTAATCACATGGGCTAAACCATACTTGATCACATGGGCTAGGTTATACCAAACCACATGAGCCAATTTATACTTAATCACATGGATTGGATTATACTTGATCACTTAGGTCGAGTTATGTTTAACCATATGAGTTGAGTTGTACATAGCTACATGAGTTAGGTTATGCTAACCATATGGGCTGATTTATACTTGACATATAAGTTGAACTGATCATATAGGTTGAGCTATACTTGACCATATGAGCTAAGTTATGGTTAGCCATATGATATACTAGGCCACATGGGCTGGGATCACATGGGTTAGCTAATATAGCCAATCAACTTAATAATTTGACCTCTCTTATTAAATTAAATTTTATTATTTTAAGAAATACTTTAAGATATTATAAACTAATAATTAATCTCAAATTTATTTTTTTTCATAAATTAACTAATTTAGATTCATGATTCCAAATATAAAACTAACTAAAATTAATTAAATAAATAATTTAATTAATTAATAAAATTTTGAACTTATCCATGTGATTAAGAAAATCAATTTTAATTATTTCTTTTACCATACTTCACAACCAAGAAAGTTAAATAAAATAATATATTATTTATGATAATTAACTTATATCAAAGGAGAAAAAATCATTGTATTCCTTCCCATTTAATAAAAAAATTGATCCCAACTTTGATACGAAAAATGACATTAATTTAAGTATTCTATACAAAACATTTCAATTCTGTGCCTCAGTGTTTTCTGTGTTCTTCCACAACTTGCTGGAGTTTACCTGCTGGCAAACACAAGTACGAAGCTTAGGAATATATTTGAACTCCAGCAAGTGGAAATTAAGTTCAATTTGCACTATCGCTGCTGCTAATATTCTCTGACCTTTACCTATAGTCTCTCTTTGCCAGCTTCCCGTTCATCTTTTGCGTACATTTGCTTTGGTTTGATGTTTGATGAATGTGGTCTTTTATCATGCTGTACATGAGTTGTTCATGGGTGCCCCCATTCGTCTCAAGTCCTTCCAAGGTCTTACCAATAATCTAATTTTGGTTTGATGTATGTGGTCAAGTGAGTCTTTATTTATCGAGTTACTCGTGGGTGTCTCATTCTTCTTAAAGTCCTCTCAGGGTCTTAAGAATAATCTAATTTGCAAAAGGAAAAGATATCTTTATCTATCTTGTATTTAAATAAATTTGATTAATTTAAATATTATTTTACATAGGTGGGAATAATTCTAATCTACTCAAAAATAGAAAATATTTAAAAAATTAAAATAAATCAAATATGAGTATGATTGAAGACTATAAATTCTAATAGAAGATTTTGTAAACACTTATCTTTACCAGGACAGGGGCTTATCAAATGGAGAATGTTAGCTTCTTTCAAATTTGATTTGATGTAATTATAATTTTTTTATTATTTTATATTTAGATTAATTAACAAAGAGGACTAGCATATTATATATAGTACATTGATGATAAGAAGATCTATGAATTGAGTTATTTTACTATAAATTGCTCTTTCGAGAGAATAAATTCATCGTTCACGAGATATACAGAAGTCTCTCTCCATGAGTTAGAGTGAGATTGACAAGTATCTATCTCGAGTTGTGAACAC